AAAAATGGATGCCTCCAGGAACGCACATTCACATGAAAAGTACTCTGAATTAAAAACAATGATCATTTATTGAACAGTTTGTAATAATTTCATACTTAAAGTACTTTCAGAAGTTTGAATTCTGAATATGAGCAGACTTTTCCTCTAAACCACAGTAACTAATCAGCTCTTCCTCTCCTTCGGTTTCCTCCCCGGTGTTCAGGTACTCCCGGGGGGTGATGTCTCCTGGTCGTCACGTTCGCACCCGTCTCTACTTTACAAGCGAGAGCCACGTCCACTCTCTGCTCAGCATGTTCCGCTATGGAGGACTCCTGGACGTGAGTGCAGAACCCATTAGTTTATTGTTTTTAAACTCTTCACTTTGTTGTTTTGGTTTGTTTTTGCAAATGTTAAACCATCTGGGCCTGAACAATAATTACCGCCTTAAGCTCGAGTCCCTAACGGACAGTAGGCTGAATGAGATTCTGGTGAAAACTGCTGCACCGTTTTTTACTCATGGTTTATTTTTATCTAAATACGTCTGTGTGCAGCTTCTTTTGAAAATAATATGAATCACAGGGATTTTTTCTTGCGATTCATATAAGATGTTAAATCATCTTATTTCAAAAGTTAATGCTATTTTTTTTAACATTTTATAGATGTCAATATAACAACAAAGTTAATCTCAAAGTCTTTCCATTTTTTAAATAAGATATTTTTTATAATTTCCTTTCTGAATTGTCCATTTCCATTTATAAAACATGTTCTTTACAAAAATTATGGAAAAAAATTCACTCCATAAAGGTGGAAGATAAGAATGAGCCAACTAGAGCTGCAACTAATGATTGTTTTGCAAATCGATTAATCTGTTGATTATTTTTTTTATTAATTGATTAATAATCAGATAGCAAAAGTTTCCTTAAAGAAGACTTTTTGTGAAATTAAACCAAGTGAAAATAAGGCTTTTCCATTTGAGGACTTCTGGATAGAGCATATCGACAGACGAAATACATTTTTATCTTAATTGTAAAATGTTTACATATATTTTCTCACAATTGTGGTATAACTGCTACTGTAAGTGGGTCGCTCTGTCAACTAAAGGCATATTTCAGAGTCTCTATAGTCCAGTTAACCATTAATCAATTACTAAATTAGTTGACGATTTTAGTAATCGATGAATCGATTAATCCGATTGATTGTTTCAGCACAGAGCCAACGTGATTTCCATGAATCCTCGATGGGTTGAGAATACAGAGAAGACACATCGGTTTGCTAAGAATAAACTGGGAATTTGTGAAGGGTTACTTGTAGTTTTAATTTATTCTAGTTTAGGGAGGTCAGGACCTTTTACTATGACTTACCGGTAGTATTGATTGTTCAAGAAATAGAAAAATGAAACATCAGTCTGTGTGGAATTAGAGCTTTGCCTCTTTTTATCTTGACACAGCCACAGATTCAGTGTATTAGTTCTAAAACGCCCTGTGATAAACTAACATTTTAGAGTGGGATAGAAAATGAAGGATGGGTCAAAATTCTAAAATGTGTATCGAGCTTTTGAGTATTTAACAGATGCTTCCTGAGGTCTGTGACTCTGGAGGAGCTGCAAAGATTTGCTGCTTAGTTTAATCTGTTTGCCTCCTTTTTAGTGAAGAGTGGGAAAGAAAGCCGTTATTTAAAGTCGTAGGGAAGTTATGTTTAAATATGAAATCATTCTGGCTTAAACATGGATATAAATGTACTCTTTATCAGACTATATTGTCCCAAAATTTTGAGAATTTCTATTTTAAAAATAATCCTGTCTTAAAATCTGTTGATTTTTTTTTTCGTTATCTTAGGTCAGCCTAAACACCTAAATTCAGCCAATCATATATCAACAGTCATCTGTTAATCAAATGTTTTTGGTCATACTATCTTGATTCATATGTTGCTGCTAATATACGCAACGGCTGAAATAAGAAATAAGAATTTTTAATGAGTTTAAAAAAAATGATGATAATTTTTGTTGCAAACCAAGCTTCTGCCGCCCTGGCGTCCTCTTCCACAACATCTTCATCCCCTCTTTCCTCCTCTCAATAAAAAATGGATGACGGAGGAGACTCATCCACGACCTCCGACACTAAACTCTCCTCCTCTTGCATGTTTCCTCTGTCCATAGCGTTCCTTGACAGTGTCGTTTCTATGTCACCAATTTAGTGCTACTTGGTCCCAATGGAATTTCCCATTGGGAACCTACTAGCACTAAGTTGCTAACTGCTTAGCAAGATGCTTCTGAGACACGGGCCACAACCAAACTTGCTTGTAAACCTTCCATCACAACAATCCCGCCGTCATGATAAACGACCAATCACATTCACTTTATTAACTCGTGTAAAGTTAGGCACCACCTGGGAGAATTTGTAAATGAACCGTTGCGATGGCCATTTCCCTACGACTTTAAAGGAAGAGGAGATGGCAGACGGGCGGGGGTATTAAAGATTATCTCCAGACAAAACATGGATTTTTTTTTTTTGTTTCTATTAATCTATGACTTGTGATTATAATTAGGGCTGAGCATAGTCAGGCTGTTTTGTATAGCAGGTTTTTTTTTTTTTTTTGCCGTTTCTTATGTTTTTCTCTGCTTGTTTGTTAAAAAAATGCCTTTGTTTTTATAATTATTTGTGAAAGAAAACTGAATTGAAATCAGAATTCTATACAGTGAACTTAGAAACATTTAGATATCATTTCTCTAATTAAAAACCAAAACCAGGAGGTGAAGGACCAGCAGTGGAAGCAGGCGATGGACTACCTGAGCGCTGTGACTGAACTCAACTACATGACGCAGATCGTCATCATGCTGTACGAAGACAACAACAAGGTTGGTCTGCAGGCGTCTTCTTCATGTCCCGGTTAGCGGCTTTCTGCATCCCTAACGGCATGCCGTCTGTCTTTCATGCGCCTGCGGTGATAAGGACCCCTCTTCTGAGGAGCGTTTCCACGTGGAACTTCACTTCAGCCCAGGAGTGAAAGGGTGTGAAGACGAGGAGAATGTGCCCCTTGGTTTCGGTTTCCGGCCTGCATCATCAGAGGTGTGTGACGGTTCTGATCCGGTTAAAGTTTCCTTAGCGGGTCGTTGGGGGTCGGTGAAAATTGCTTCCTGTTCTTTGAACGATCAGAATGAAGACAAAAAGCCCAACCAGGGCAGCTTGGAGGATCTCTCCCAGGATCAGACAGACGATGCGCTTCCTGTCACAGAACTCATCAACCTGCAGAGAAAGTCCCCTATGATCCGTAACCGCAAGGCAGGCTCCATGGAGGTACTGTGCTGTAGTGGGACTCTGAGCAGCAGCCATGTTGTTTACCTGATGTGTTGATCTAATCGCCTCCTTTTTAACCGCCTCTCTTAGGTCCTCTCTGAGTCCTTCCCCAACGCTTCCTCCAAAGGCCCCACATCCCATCGACTCTTCCAGTCATGTTCGCGCCAGTCTCCTGAGATCAAACCAGCTGGAGGCCTAGGTCAGCTTCTAACTGTTCTTTTTTTTGTCGTGGGCCGTTTGTGTCCCTCGCTGGTGTGGGTGTGCGTGTGTGTTTGTCATCATGCCACCCCATCCTCAGAGCACATCTATTTCAGGCTGTCATCACCGCACCGCTCTTCATCACAAGCCTGTTTTTTTTTATAATTATTTATTTCACCCTTGCACTGTATCCCCTTTCAGTCCCTCCCTCATGTCTCTCTTGAGGGCCGATCCCTCCCCTCCTCTTTGCATCACCACCCCTCCTCTTACCGACGGCTGCATAGCTTCCAGCTCGGCTCAGCTTAGCAGCAGCCAAGCAGGATCAGACTCCAAACTATTCAGGCAAGAGGTCAGCTGGGAATTTGCGTCGCGTTCACAGCCAGAAGCAGGATTTGGTTTTCACACAGCGGCGAAACAGATGGAGGTTTTATCTATCATTGTTTCACTCATAGCTTTAACTCTCTCTGGCTGCTGCAGATTCTGATCAAAGGTTTAAATTAAGGTGTTTCCCTGCCTCACAGAAGGTTCAGTGGTGAATACCAGCGTGTTACAGATGGATGATATGCCAAAATCTATTTCACTGAGACTTTCTCAGTTTCAATTAATAGATTTATCGATATAAACTACATGAAAACCTCAGAAATGCTGCCAGGAAAGACCCCAACTGCCTGTAAAAACTTAGGAAATGTATCCTTCCACATCATAAAGCTCTTCTGATATAACATTTTAGAAATAATTGTAAAAAAAAAGTCTCACTATTTTTAGTTTGAGCTAAAAGCTTAGCAGGATAAATGAACATGTAACCTGGCAAATCCATCCTCTTTTACCGTTTCTCTGTTATTTCCTCCTTTATTAATTTATGATTAACTTTCCTATGTTTGAAAAGAAAAAGACTCTTAAGCCTAAAATTCTGTTTTCACAATTCCTATAATAAATTGGCAAAACAACCAGCTCTGAAAAGGCAAACCTAAAGTCCCCTATCAGCTCGGAAACATCAGACTTTGGATAAACTTTTCTTGGCTCTGAAGGCAGCGCTTTACCAGTGGTTTAATTAATAGATTTATTAATATAAACTACATGAAAACCTCAGGAAAGACCCCAACTGCCTGTGCATACTTAAATGAAAAAGATGGTCTGTTGATTCGGCTGCAACAGCATCTACCTCATCAAAGTTCTCCAAACCCAGTTCAGTTCTGTTCAGGTGAGCCTCCAGCTCATGTTTCTGATCACGATCTCAGGCCAAAACTTCCTAAAATCATTGTTTTTCCAAGCATTTCTATTTGAATTGTTGCTAAAATCATCTTAAAATGTATACTCTCCACCCTACTGTTTAACCGGGATTAATACAAAATGGAGAAAAAAAGGAGATGATTGTGACGCAACAGACCAGCTGCTTATTGGGAACCTTTAAAGGTCATTCAGTGTTGCTGACTGGCCTCCTCACAGCTTCCCACTTTTCATCTGGTCTCTAATGATCCGGAGAAATGTCTGATGTCCTCAGATTCTCCAGTTAAGATGTCTTTTTTTTCTGATTTCACCATTTTTTTTTGTGGGTCTTCCTGTCTATTACCTTAACAAAATAAGAGGATTTAAGCCTTTGGTGTTTTATCTTTAAAATCCAAATACAACAGAATAGCAGAAATGTTTTAAAGATCAGGTAGAGCAGCAGAAGCTAATGGCAGGTGTGAACTGAAAGGGTCTAAATGCTGAGAATGAATGATAGGGTGATTTAACAAACTGTAATTTTAAAATAGATTAAATAATCCCCACATCACCTTATAAACATATTTTACTAAATAATCTGCATCAGAGGACTTGGCAATCCTCTTTCTCCGCCAACAGTTAGCCGTCAGTGAGCAGTAGACCTAACACGGCTCTGTCTGGATCTACAACCAAAGAACGCTTTATTTTCCGCAGCCACTTTTCCCACAGGAAATTAACTTGTAATGGGATAAAAAAGGCCGACACTCATTGGCATGTGTCTGTAGTCCAAAACCAGCAGCATGGAGAAAACCATAAAGGCAGGAATGTGACATCAGATGCACAGAAACGATTTCTGTCATGTGTGCCTCAATAGGAATTTTACCCTCCTTAACAGCCTGGCTGCTCAATGTCACCAGGACAGAATAATCCCACTCAGTCTCTAACAGCAATGAGGCTCAACACAAACACATATTTGAAATCTGTAACCTAATCTTTAATATTTGCTAGTGTAAGGAAACATTATGCCAACAAGTATTTTATTGACAGTTTAGATATTTAATCTGCAAAAATTGTTCTTTTACTCAAGTCTTACAGCTTTAACTTTAGCATAAGGTTTGCTTTTTACCTTGTTTTGAGATTTACTGGTAAAGATTCTCAGTCATCCATGTCATAGTCATTCAAAGAATGTTAAACAAAACAAAAAAACAATCCACTGGACTTTGTTTCAAAGTTTGATGACGTTCCGCTTCCCATCCTGGAAGTCCAGTGGATTTTTATTTATTTTGGAAGGACTATGACCTGGACGAGTGAGAATCTTCACCAGCAACAAAATCAACAGCATCTGAACATGGTAAGAGATGTTAGATGGATCACTTAAACAAATTAGGAACAGCACAGACATTTAAAGTACATTTTTCTTGAAATAAGTGAATTTTCCCATGATTTGACACTTAGACAGTGAACTGAAAGGATTTGATTAAAAAATGAACAACTCATTTATCTTATCTTAAAGTGCATCATGTCTAATTATCTTATTCTAAGGACGAATGGCTTAAATCAATTTCCCTTATTTTTGGATCAGTTTTTATGCTAAAATAATGAAACCCAGACAGAAGTGACCCAGAGCTTCCACTAGTGTTCACACTTCTATCAGGAGGTTCACATGTTCTTTCATAAGGTCTGCCAAAAGTATTTACCCCCCCAAAAAAACTTTAATGCATTTTTTTGGTTTTTTTAGACTAACCTAAAGTAGGGAAGAAAAATGTTGTTCCAAGAGTTTTTAATGATACATATTTCATATTAGTATTTAGAAAAGTTGTCCTGAAAACTGCTTATTTTTTTAAACACATTAATTGTTTATCCTTTCATGCTCTGCTGCTTACCTTAGACATTCAGACATCCCAATAAAATTAGGTTTGTAGTAACAAGATAATGTGGAAAACAGAAAGGGGTATGAATACTTTCAGAAAGATGAGCATAAGCTGGCGTCCCCTTTAACTCTAACAAGTGTTATTAATGGCTTTCTATCATTAAAAAAAAATCTTCTTTGGTCTGTATAAAGATGAACAACAACAAAAAAACACTGCAAAAACTGATCTAAAGTAAACATTTCTTGGAAATCTTAAATTTGCCCTTAATATGAGCAAATAAATAAAATGATTTAGATAAGATGGAATTAGTTTATATTACCTTAAAATAAAATAATTATGCACTTTGAATATGGTAAAGGAGTTATTATTTTTTCCTATTTTAAATCTAAACAATCATATTCTATCAGCATGTTGTTTTACTTACATGCTGTAATAAATAAAAAACCAAAATGAAATACAGTAATTTCTTTTTTGCAGTAAAGAGGCGGTTTGGTTTCTTGTATCCTACTGTTGCTTTTAGCCTAAATCTGCTCATTTGTTCTCTTTTGAACACATTAGATAAAAACGAGACCTCTCAATAAAGTAGAATGAAGATCTCTGATCATGAGCACAACACAGTAAAACCATTGAAGTTAGAGCAATGTCTGCTCTTATTGAATCCATCATTGTTCTGTGAACCTTCAGACAACCAGATGAAACGTTCTAGCAATGTGCAATAAAGATGTAGATGTTTTGTTTTTCAAATTAAGTTTTAAATCATTTTTGTGACCATGTATCCTCATTTAAGCACGTCGTTTTGAGGGACTTTCTGTAACAGTCCAGCTTGGTGGGGACGTGGTGAGAACTGGTTTTCTGCATGGAGCTTACCCCCCTCCCCACACCCTTGCATGTGTGAGTCCCTTCAGTTAAGACTCTTACCCCATTTACACTACCCTTGAAAAACCGTGCCGAGACCGGTTCGAGCTCAGTAACTGAGATAACTTATCGTGTGTAAATGGAAAGCAAACTGAACTGAACCGAGCTAGACACAACCGAACCGAGCTAACTGCAGACCAGTTCCAGAGGTGGGCTCGGCTCAGTTTTTCCCTGGCTCGGTTCTCTGATAACAAGAGCGCATGAGCAGAACGCGTCATCTCCGTCTGAATGCACATCCCGATTCACACTCCATTCCAGTAGTTGGCGGTAATGCCCCTCTGGAAGTTGCTTGCCAACCAACACAAAACAGAAGAAGAAGAACAACTATAAACAACAATCAAAATCTTCTCCACGCAACATTTTGATTTGCTTGATTCCCTCCTTCTTCGTCTTCTTCTTCTTGTGTTTTATGGCGGTTGGCAAACAACTTTTGGTGCATTACCGCCACCAACTGCTTGATTTCCTCCTTCAATACTGGCCGTAATACCGCAGATCGTCACTAGGAGGCGAGGAGTCGAGGAACCGAGATAGCGTGATGTGTAAACGGTCGTCAGAACCGAGCTAGACCTGGTTAACTGATCCGAGCTCGGACCGGTCTCGGCAAGGATCGGTTTTTCAAGGGTAGTGTAAATGAGGTATTAATGTCCCTAAGATATGAATGGATCTATGCATTCATGATTTACAAAGAATCTGAAAAGTGTGGCACACATTGCTACAACAAATATTTTCACCTGCCTTTAGCTCAGTCAGTCGTCCCTTTAGCATTCCTCTCCCTGCTGAAAGAAAACATCCCAGGTTGCTTTCATCTCCATGTTATGTATTGTTATTAACACAAATAATAAAAAATAGACATAACATTAATGTACACAAAGCAAAAATTATCGGTGGATGTTACTTGCTGCTTTTGCAGAAGAAAATACACTTGAAAGGCATTAACAGAACAAAAGTCTTGCCCAAAACTTCATAAAACATGAGTGATGCATGACAAAGTACATTTTTGCCAGGGAAGATGGGTGGTTTGAGACGGCAGAATTAGTCTCTCTGCTTCTAGTCCGCAGCAGTGATTGCTATTCCAGTTATATTTAAATCTCACTGCTTATGACTCACTGCTGCTAATCGGCCATTAGTGTCTTTAATGACAAGATAGATACTTTCAACCATATGAAGTAAGAATTCTGCCAAAGAGTAATTTGTAATACACACTTATACCAGCAGTTTTATTTAAAATTCACACTGCAGATCAATGAGGCCCAAATCCACTTTTTGTTATCATAAAGAATCAGACTTTTTCCCAATCCGATCTGGACTACATTTGTATGTGGTTTTAAATCCAATACAGGTTGGATCTTTTAGAATCTGACTGCGGTCTGCACGGCCTAGTGAGCCTTATCTGAATTACTATGACGATGATGTCACTCTTGCTCTCACAGAGCAGGGGACAAAAATAATTACAGCAAACATGCAGGACAGCGTAGATGGAGGTTTACAGTGGATGGACCACGAAATTTTGGGGTTAGTAAGTATTTGGGCGGCTATCCATCTTCTTCAGCTTATCCGGGGTCGGGTCGCAGGGGTAGCAGCTTCAGAAGGGAGGCCCAGACGTCCCTCTCCACAGCCACTTGGGCCAGCTCCTCCGGGGGAATCCCATGGCGCTCCCTTACCAGCCGAGACACATAGTCCCTCCAGTGTGTCCTGGGTCTCCCCCTGGACCTCCTCCCCGTGAGAAGTGCCTGGAACACCGCACCAGGGAGACGTCCAGGAGGCATCCTAACCAGATGCATGAGATCCACCTCAACTGGCTCCTCTCGATGTGGAGGATTCAGCAGCGATCCATAAGAAACCTTTTTATGTCTGCTGTATCATCCAGCTACTCCCATTGCTCAACAGCTTTACATCCATCCATAGTCCCTGACTTCTAGCACATCTTGTTATTGATCTTCTGCACATTCAGGTCACTTCTACTTAGAGTTGTTTGATGTGGATTGTTGTTTTTCTTCTCATGTGGATCACTTCAGGGGAACAGTTTCCCATGTTAACACCTACACAAAAAATCGGATCTAACAAAAAGTTGTAATGGTACATCAAGACCTGCAGTGTAAACATAGCCATGAACTTCTCTGCATACAGATTGAACAGCATGAGGCCTTTGCTCAGTCCTATGCACTGCGTTATCCTGTTTTGTAATCTTCCTGTAGTTTCTTTCCTCCCCTTTGGTCCTGTTTCTGTGGATCATGTCGACTTTTGTCACTTTGAGGGAGAAACCAACCTGAGAAAGTACATTGCCTGTGATTGGCTGCTGTTCAGGAAATCCCACTTCTATGGTTTCCAGAGGTGTCAAAAGTATTAATGTTTATTACTTAAGTCGAAGTATAAATCCTACTGTTTAAAAATACATTTTTAGAAGTCAGAGCATCAACTTGGTTGCCTTTTCTATGTCTGCTTCTGTGTCCTTGAACCCCAGTCGGCCTCAGCAGATGGTCGCTCACACTGAGCCTGGTTCTGCTGGAGGTTTCTTCCTGTTCAAAGGGAGTTTTTCCTCTCCACTGTCGCTACAAGCATGCTTAGTGTGAGGGATTGCTGAAGAGTCAATGAGTCGATGCAATCAACTGGTTTTCCTTAGATAGAAAACTTTGAATCAATCTGACTGGATGATCTGATGAACTGGAAAGAGCCTTGAGATGATGTGTTATGAATTGGTGCTACAGAAATAAACTGAATTGAATTAATCTTTTTACACAAGTAATAGTGTAAAAGTAGCATTTTTAAAACTACTTGATATATAAAGGTAAAATTAATCCAGAAGCTTTACTGCTCTACCCTATTAAAGGAAAATTTTTCTACAATTCTGGATGATAACTTCATTAAACTTCATTTTCTTAGTTTTATAACTAATGGTAACAGTACAGGGTCAAATTTAAATTTGCATCATCTTGAAAAAATTTTGGTATGTGGTGAACAAGAGGTTGGGGCAACACAAAGTCCAACCACAAATAAATTAACTATTTGGATTAAAGGTGTTTTGTTTTTTTCTTTTTTAAGAGGCCATAATGAAAACGAGCCTAATTGAAACAAAACTAATTAGTTTTTTTTTTTATGTAGGCAGTAGAAAGTAGACATAATTGCTAAAAAATGTAAGGAGTAAACGTAAAGAGTTGTCTAAAAAACAACTTTTTTAGACAACTTTTACTGCAGCAGATATTTCTACTTAAGTATGGAAATAAAGTGTTTGTTCTTTGTTTCTTAAAACCTCTGCCCATTTTTCCTTCTTAGGAAATTAGAAATGTTAGCGAAGCATTTTCAGGCTGATAGCTGATTGAATTATGACGTCTCTGTCATCCACTGACAGCTTATACACACAACAGTATCTGTAAGCTGATTAGAAATGGAAAATGTCTGTGTTCAAATATATTAATATAAATAAATTCTATATAAATATAAGTCAATTTAAGCCTCACTTTCCTCAATAAAAAAAGTGGAGCTAACGTTAACTTAGCTCGTACCAAGTTCCAAATTTAACATCAATTATTTTAGAGCTTATTGCTGCTGCTGTCAAACACCTCCATGATGGCGTTGAACTAAGTTATTCATTGATGACCTCATTTAATCACATTTTAACTCTAAGAGAACAGCTATTAGACTGAAGATGTTTGCTGATGTCCCTTCCTGCGATGCAGGAGAAATCAGTGCCGGTGTTCTGTCAGACCAGCATACCAATACGCATGCACAAGATGTCAGATTTGCATCTATCCCTTTAGGTTTGTAAAAAAAAAAATAGACTTTAAATTACCTCGATGGCCGTGCATCCCTTTAGTCATGTACAAAAGAAAAAT